ACGCTTTCATAGGGCTGTTATCTCCGTAATGGTTTTTGTGGTATAAAAACTTGTTAGATGTCATGTGCTCGTTTCACGTTAAATTTCAAATAATAAAATAAAAATTAATTTAAAAAAATTTCTATTGAGGATCGTCCTCTTCAGGAAAAAATTATTTGGTTAAATAAATGTCGAGTTACAAGTTGCCTCTTAATCGACATAATTAAATACATTGGAACTACACAAATTCCCACATGGTACGACCTGTTCACCAACTCTCATTTTGGACTAAATATACAATAATAAATACACAATAAAATAAACGGCTGTTTTGCAGGAAATTTAAATGTAGGCATATTCGGACATTCCCCAATCAAATTCGATTATGAGAGTATTTGGATACTCACTTAGAAACTGTGGTGGCCACCACGATAACCGGATTTTACACCTCCAGATTTTTCTCTATATATTGGAAAATAAAATTTATAAAGAAGTCATTTTAATCCGAGAACAACTTGCTCAAAGAATTAATGAAGCCATTGCAGAAATAACACTTTTCCACATTATGAAAGGCTTAAAATCCCTGCGAAAAAGATGTAAGGAGTGCAATTTTTCCGATGATTTCAGTTATTGCTATCCTTAATCCGTATTTTTAATTTCGATTCAAATTTTATATAGTTGTTTAATTTCCTTTTGGCGCCACCCATTTTTTACTCTTTGTCTATTAAAATATATTCTAGCTAGAATATCACTGTCCTACGAAACCAATACCATCCATGGTGTGTTTGGTTTATTATTGAAAGCAGACCTTAAAATGCTACTGTTTTGGACTAAAATATACAGAGGTTTTATGTTAAAAAATGTGCTTTTTTACCTAACCCCGTATACTTATTCTAAAAATGACGGATTATTCAACAATCATTATACAGAAAATTTTACATAAAACAATGCTCAGTTTCTCTTTTAACTAAGGAAAAATATAATTTTGAAATTGACAATTTTGTGATTTTCCCAGTATCTTAAGCGGTCAAAAATTTTCAAATTTATGCAAGAGCACATGATACCTATACTACTTTTTTGAGTGGGACAGCCTGTACTTCAAAACTGGCCTACTAAATAATGGTTTTTTGAAAAATTCTTATTTGGGGTAGAATATCAATATCATAATTCTCATAAGCAATGAAAACCAATGTTGTGAAGTGAAGTTGAGCAGTTTTGTGGCAAAACTCACCTAATGAACTTTCGCATTCATATACCAGTATGGATGCTTTGGAAGCTCAATAAAAAAATGACGGCGATTTTGAATCACCCCGTATAAAATATTGCGAATAATGCTACTTCATTGAAGACATTTTTTATCGCCTTCTTAGAAACTGAAGGATATAGGGAAATCCTAAAGCGACCTGTAATTCATGTTCACCTTCACTTCAGGTGAGTCGCCGTTTTGGAAAATTTAAATAGTTTCTGTTTTAACACATACAGTTATTATTTTAATAGTATAAAATGTATTAACTTTGTACGTCTGGTTAAAAGTTAAGAGTCCCGCTGTAAAAGCCAATTGCAGTTATATAAGATGCGATTAACAATTTGCGTTCTTTGAAGATTTCCTAAATCAATTCATCTAATCCAAAATCTAAATTTTGCTTTTGGGTAATTTTTTGCATGCAAATATATTGGTTCAAATGAACTATAAATTGAACCCCCATAATTATTGAATCTGTGATGAACAGATCGACCAAGAGTGGGTTTCAGCACTCAAAAATGTTAATATACGTGGTCTTAAACTCTAGAATCTGGAAAACGTCCAGATTTGGTTATAAGTAGATTTTATTAATTAGTTGCTACCAACATCGCCTGATCTTCTCTGTTCACTGTTCAATTAAAAGAGCAAAATCGGGAGCAAGTAAACTGGAAGCTGGAAATATTGCATTTTGGAGCAGCAATTACTGCAAATAACTTAAGCAAATAGATTCCTTTTACTCATTGCTATAATTTGCTGTATTTTACTAACTTCTTACCATGAAATTCGGCTGGTCGAGCCAACTTAATCAGTCCAATATCCCCGTATGTTATGGAACGTTCACCTTCGTACTCCTCAAATCGTATTAGCCGCTGCACGTCGATATCCTGAACTGGAGGTGCGCAAATTTCGTTTTCACAATCACTCTGCTCCTTCAAGAAGTTTTCGCCCAGTCTTACTTGCTTTCTGAAAAATGCCGGGAAATTAATAAATCGCCTTTATTCACTGGACATATTACTAAAACTTACAAAGTATCTCCTAACAAGTCCAAGAAACAGTGGTTGGCAGTTACAACATACCATCGGTTAATGAGAGATCCGGCGCAAAGATAAAATATTTTTGGCTTGTTTTTCTTAATCTGGTATCCAAGTCTGGCGATCCAAGGAAATTGGCCTAAAGTCGCTTCTTTTCCTCCGATTATCCGGTCCGACATTGCGCCATAACCGCATTCTTCCGTTGGAAGAACTTGCCAGTTGGGATGGTCATCTGAGTGTCTATTAGTCCCTTAATTTGCAATAATGGACATCAAAAAAATCGCTTGGAAAGAGAGAGTAGACCGTAAGCATTCCTAACATGATGGTTAGATGATTTAACATCGCTTTTAAAGCTCTCTCAGTTCTCTCTAATTTTTTATAATTTTTAGCCGAGATCGTTGGTACAAATCGAACACAAACCTTGCTCAAACAGACAGTCATAGAGACCAAATAAATTTAGTTATATCCAAAATCGTTATAGATGATTAGGCAAAATTATGATTTTTCCGTAATTTTTCTAAAGCAATTTCCAAAATAACCAAAGTTCGTTTTATACGAGTAAAGCCAGTGCTTTGTAATATTTTATGTGACTAGAAAACGACTTGCTCAAAAGATACCTACTTCTATTTTAGGTCGAGCGATCAAATCAATTGAATATATTTTTTCAACTATTGGCTTTATTCAAAATATTTTTCTTTCTTCCGTAGAAACTTCCTCGAGAGTTTTTGTATGTAAAATAACAGTGAAGACGAAATAACGTACAGGTTTTGGGAGTAATATTTTCAGCGCATACAGAGATAATGAGAGCTAATAGACTCCAAATCGGTACTATATTAAGCCTGATATTAGCATTAGCTTACTCAGAATATTTTGGCAACTCGAATAATTCCGAAAGTTTTATTTGTCATCAATCACTGTATAGAAACAACACAAATTATCATTGACCCATTTTTTTGGATTTTTCCGCAAAAACCGTTTGGATAAGAAAACGAAGTAAAAGAATTTGCTAAATGAAGTGAATGTTGAGCCGAAAAATGTGATTTTTATGCACATTGAACTCCACTGAAAATGACGAAAATAATCTTCTGATTAAGTTCTATTAGTTTTTTTTTGATAACGCGCATTTGTCTATTACGCGAAAATCTATTAATTTGCATTCTTTCAGCAGGAAAAAAACGCGGCTTTAGATAAAATTTTAGATTGGTTAAATCGATATGTTTTCTCCTCGCGAATATAACTGGGAGACGTTATATATATTATCTATAAAATATGTATAAAATAATAATATGATCTAAGTGAGAGATTCTGTTCTTGCGTACTGGATGGACGGGGTCCAAATTTTAATTAATGCGATTGCAGATTTTTCGAAAGAAAATATTCGAAAAGAAGCATTTGATGACAAAGTGATTACAAAACGTGCGATCAGAAAAGCGCAACAAATACTTAGGTCTATAAACAATAAATAAGTATTTTTCGCAAGAAATTCAGAACACCTTAAAATGTGTACCAGGAGCCGCTACTGCTAACAATCATGTAATTATAAGTGTTTTATAATGCTGTAAACAAGTAAATAACAACCGGTTGCTGCTACTAGGTACGACCGTTAACAAATGAAGAAATATTATCAAAATCCAGCCAACACATTGACAAAAAACAAACTAAGCAACAGTCAAGCATAAGAAACTAAGGTATTGTATTTTGCCAAGACTTATGATTCAAGTTTTAATACATCAAACAATATTCAAATTCAACATCAATGCAATTAGTTATTGCCGTTGAATCATAAATCTTGGAAATGTTGTTTGGCTGTGATTAATTTTCAAGAGAAGAAGCTCATACAAAAGGCAGGTTTTTGGAAGTAAATCTAAATATTTTTTTGTCAATTTTTAAATTTACTGGGTGGATTAAGAATGAGCAGTGTCTACCTTGCATCATCATCTAACCAGTTTCGATCCCCTAAATAAAAACTTTTTAAATTGCACATAGTATTATACAGGATCAAATAAAACATGGCATTTTTATAAATAATAATTCAAAGTCACAATGAGCAAGAAGTTTTAGAATAAGCACTTGAAAATGAAGAATGGGCTCATTTATTATAATGCTTGCTTAATGAACACTTCATCAAATTAACACCCACCCAGAACTGAAGTGGAGCGTATTGCATAAGATAAAGAAAAATGGAACAGCATTCCTCAAGAACAGGCTAATTGTGCCTATATGCTTAAGCGTGTTAATGCGTTCCTGACAGCAGGTGAGGAAACGTGTATTATAGTTGTTCTATGTTTATTAGTCTATTCATTATTTTATTGGTGGAACAAAATATAATTTCCTTGATTGTTTTCGTAACTGTTGCTGCAATTATAGTGATTCAATGTAATTAAGTCGAATCGAGTGCTTAGAGAAAGTTTTGTGAGAATTTCCTTTTCTGATAAAAACCTGGAAAGAATTGTGACGAAACGGAAATAAAGGAACGAGCAATTTAAGGCAGATTGAGCAACAAATTAGTGACGCGATCTGCTCTCACCATCAAGAAGAATGTGGATTTGACTAAGAAAACGGAGGAAACTGATTAAAAACTGAACCGCAAAACTAACAAACGTTTGATCGGCAAATATAGTTTTTTTAAAGTTTAATCCCGTAGATACCATATGGTTGCATTAAGCAAAAGCTTTAGTTTTCAACTATTCGGACAAAAAAAAATTGATGCATATAAGGAAATGGAAAAATAGGAAATTTGAACTTACGTGTGCCAAGGCAGATTTGTACAGTCAAAAAAACGAAAGCAAAGAAAACCACTGAATTGATAGACATTGCCATGGCCATAGAACACGACATGGTGAAAATTTCTAGTGCATTTGAATGTTTTTATAATTGGCAATAAAAGTTTTAATTTAAATCCGAATTGTTCACGTTTAAAACAATGAGGGTTTTGAAATAATCAATCCCGAACGTGATTGGACAAACTGTAATTTTAACATGGAAAACAGGATTTTATAATTTAACAATTTTATTGAATGTTTGCAAATTTTCATGTTGTCTCATGTAAAAAGCTTTTGACTTATTTATTTATTTTAGTATTGAAGAACAATGAAACTCGAAATTATCAGAAATGCTAACGGTTTCTGATGCAAGCAAGTACAGATTTACAGATGTGCTAATATCAGGCACACCCCAAAACCGGTTTCTACCCTCTACTCTATTATAGCTCTCATCAACTGGGTCTCGGAAGTGTTATTTTCTGACTAAACCCAACTGATATGAGGAAATTGGCCCTAAACCGGTCCTGCGGGTGTCAGAGATTAATACCTCTCGAAATGTGGTCTTACTTACATCTGAAACTTTTGAAGGCTCTGATTATGCCGAAAGTTTCATTGTTCTTCAAAAATATGAAAATTTCAATACTTTTACTTAGCACTTCTTGGTTTTTTATTTATTTAACTCTCTATTTTTAAATGTAACTCGTATAATCGGCTAAACGAGTTGAGAGGACTTTCTAAACGTAAAATAAAAGATTGAATGTACAGGGTGTTCCAACGATAGAGTTAAGTTACGTCAGTTCAGCCGGAATTTATATCATTGAGTTAAAAATATTGTACTTCATTGTATATGTATTTCATACTTTCCTGACTGTGTTTCAATTCCAAATCAAAATTAATTCCTGGGTTTCAGTCATTTATTGGCTCTATTTATCAATTAAAATACATTTTCTCAGAAATGTATGCCAAGGCTTAAAGTAGCAACAACGCTACACATAAAAACTGATGGTGGTGGAAAAATACACCGAAACGTATTTTAATTGATAAATAGACAATAAATGACTGAAACCYAGGAATTAATTTTGAGTTAAAAATATTCCAAATCAAATTCATTTCTGGGTTTCAGTCATTTATTGTCTCTATTTATCAATCAAAATACGTTTCTGYGTATTTTTGCACCATCATCAGTTTTTCTAAAATAACTAAAATAATTGCAATACTTTAAAACATTCTAAAATTAATTAGGCCTAACAGGTGATTAGTCAGGACAACCAAATTTGGGAAGAGACTAGAATTCTTCGTTCAGATACTTAATTATTTTTACTTACATGTGTAGCGCTGTTGCTGCTTTAAACCTTGTCATGCATTTGGAGTAT